CCACATAAATGGCCCAAAAAAGCTCGGTACCATGATGTTGTGTATGACACATGTTATTTCATTTGTTTAATGGAAAATCCCACATAAATGGCTCACAAAAGATAGGTACCATGATGCTGTAAATCACACATGTGACAGTACTTCACTAGAGAATGTCTGCAAACGTTTGCAACAGAGCTCGATGCCATCATGTGCTTGATGTCAAAAGCAGAAAAGTTTGAGTTCAGGACAGGACCATAAAATGTCAGTGAGCGACACTCTTCAAAAGCTTCTGTATGTAAAGGCCTCTGTGTGTGAAAGCGTGTGTGTGTGTGTAAAAGCATCTGCCTGTAAAAGCGTCTGTGTGTAAAAGCGTCTGTGTGTAAAAGGGCCTGTGTGTAAAAGCTTCTGTGTGTAAAAGGGTCTGTGTGTAAAAGCGTATGTGTGTAAAAAACTTCTGTGTCTAAAAGCGTCTGTATGTAAAAGCGTCTGTGTAAGCGTCTGCGTGTAAAGGCTTCTGTGTGCAAAAGCGTCTGTGTGTAAAAGCGTGTGTGTGTGTAAAAGCGTCCGTGTGTAAAAGCGTCTGTGTGTAAAAGCGTTTGTGTGTAATTAAAAGCGTCTGTGTGTAAAAGTCTCTGTGTAAGCGTCCGTGTGTAAAAGCCTCTGTGTAAGAAAGCGTGTGTGTGTGTAAAAGAAAAGCGTATGTGTGTAAAAGTGTTTGTGTGTAAAAGGGTCTGTGTGTAAAAGGGTCTGTGTGTAAAAGCGTCTATGTGTAAAAGCGTCTGTGTGTAAAAGCTCCTGTGCGTAAAAGCGTCTGTGTGTAAAGGAGTCTGTGTGTAAAAGCTTCTGTGTGTAACAGCGTCTGTGTGTAAAAGCGTCTGTGTGTAAAAAGTTCTGTGTGTAAAAGCGTCTGTGTGTAAAGGCCTCTGTGTGTAAAAGCCTATGTGTGTAACAGTGTTTAGTGTCTGTGTGTAAAAGTGTTTGTGTGTAAAAGCGTCTGTGTGTAAAAGCGTCTGTGTAAAAGTCTGTGTATGTAAAAGCTCCTGTGTGTAACAGCTTCTGTGCAAAAAGCGTCTGTGTGTAAAAGGGTCTGTGCGTGAAAAAGAAGACGAAGGATACGATGCAAACTAGTGTCTTAAGAATTGTACTTGTAATATACTGTCTTGATAATACTTGTTCGCCTGCCTATAATACATCTTTAATATGTTGTCTTGCAATATAGTGTCTCAATACTAACAACAGAAGACCCTGCTCTCTCGTCTCTCTCTCTCTCTCTCTCTCTCTCTCTCTCTCTCTCTCCTCTCTCTCTCTCTCTCTCTCTCTCTCTCTCTCTCTCTCTCTCTCTCCCTCTCTCTCTCCCTCCCTCCCTCCCTCCCTCCCTCCCTTTCTCTCTATCTATGTCTCTCTGTGGTTGCAAGACAAGTGTCACATGATGCCCTTTATAACAAGCAACACAGTGCATATGCATGGGTTGTCACATGTATCCTCTTCTTAATCAATCTCACTTTTCACAACTTATCCCTCCATAGCTCATATAGAATTCACCAACCATTCACCGACTATTTTTTACGACTACCATACTCAGAGCTGCTTGAAAAACGTGTTTTTCACTCTCGGGCCAACCGTCGTCTAGTTTTCTTATGGTATGCAAATATATAGATGGTGAATGCAAATATTATGGAAGCAAATAAACATTCTTGGTAATTGAGAATGATTCAAATCAAGTTCTAAAAAAACTGGAAGATTATACAGAGTTAACTTGAGTTAAGTTAGTTACATAATTTCATCAAATAATAATAATTTATATAACTTAATTTATGTTAACAATTACCACTAGTTGTACATAGTTAAGACCTAGTTGTAAATTGTTAACACAAGTTGTAACTAGTTGATAAATGAACATAAGTGATTCTAATTAGTTAACTCCTTACAAAAAAAACAGGATTTCAAGTACATCCGACCCCTTGGCAGTGCACATTGTCCCACGCCTGCCACGCAAAAGCCACCGGCAGAGCGGTGGAGACCAAGGGACGCCAGAGGGACACCGGGGCGTACATCTTACCCCTTGGCAGCGCACATTGTCCGGAGTGAGTGTTTGTGGGATGTGCGTGTGAGTCAGTGATGTGTGTGTGTGTGAGTGAGGGATGTGTGTGTGTGTGAGTGAGTGAGTGAGTGAGTGAGTGAGTGAGTGAGTGAGTGAGTGAGTGAGTGAGTGAGTGAGTGTTTGTGGGATGTGTGTGTGTGTGTGAGGAAGTGATGTGTGTGTGAGTGAGGGATGTGTGTGTGTGTGGACAGGCGGGAGGAGGCGGGAGGAGAAGGAGCGGATACAGCACTAAAAACAAAAACCCCACACGTCAATGTGGGGAAAAACACAAGGTTTTGTGCTCCGGCTTCCTCCCCAAAACAAAGCCCATGCAACATTCATGCAGCCATTACATTGCGTTTTGCAGCATCACGTGGCTAACCCGCATGTATCTACACACATGGCAACACCAGATGACAACAATCATGTAGCCATTCCACTTGCGATCTGCAACCACAGATTCCAAAACACCCCATAACTACGCACCCACAAGCATACCCAAAGCAGCTTGAAGCCACCGTTACAGTGCCGCAAAAAAAAGGCAAACCGACCGCAGCCGCACCCCACCGCACACAGGAGGTACCTTTCATCGCCGCCTGCAGCCACCTTACACGGAAAAACACCAGGTTTTGTGCTCCGGCTTCCTCCCCAAAACAAAGCCCATGCAACTTTCATGCAGCCATTACAATGCGTTTCGCAGCATCACGTCGCAAACCTGCACGTATCTACGCACATGGCAACACCAGATGACAACAATCATGCAGCGATTCCAATGCGAACTGCAACCACAGATTCCAAAACACCCCATAACTACGCACGCACAAGCACACCCAAAGCAGCTTGAAGCCACCGTTACAGTGCCGCAAACAAAAAAAGACAAACCGACCGCAGCCGCACCCGCCGCACACGGGAGGTACCTTTCATCGCCGCCTGCAGCCACTTTACACGGAAAAATGCAAGTTTTCGTTCTCCGGCTTCCTCCCCAAAACAAAGCCCATGCAACATTCATGCAGCCACTACAATGCGTTTCGCAGCATTCCCTTCATCACCACTTCCCTTCGTCACCGCTTCCCTTCTTCACCACTTCCCTTCGTCACCACTTCCCTTCGTCACCACACACCCTTCTTCACCACTTCCCTTCGTCACCACTTTCCTTCGTCACCACCCTGTGTCATAGCCTCTTATTCTTTTGTGATGTATTGTTATGTGATGTCAAGTCTCACAACAGGTGCACCCTGTAGTCACCACTTCCCTTCGTCACCACTTCCCTTCGTCACCACCCTGTGTCATAGCCTCTTATTCTTTTGTGGTGTATTGCTATGTGATGTCAAGTCTCACACCACCCTGTGTCATAGCCTCTTATGATTTTGTGATGTTTTGTTATGTGATGCAAAAGACACACACCACCCTTCATCAATGTCAAGTCTCACAATTCTATTGACACACACACACCACCCTTCATCAAGGTCAAGTCTCACAATTCTATTTGTCCGTAACACGGAAGTATTGCCTCCCAACTTCCTTTGATAATAAAGAACAACTTCCTTTGGTTGGCCCGGTTAAACCTGCCACCTCCCGCAGGATCCGCAGGTCAACAAGCATGTCATACAAATCTGGGGCCATGGGACCAGGCGGACCAGGTATTTAACCCTAGAGGATCTAGAAGGGATTGACCCAAAGAACATGTGGATCTGTTTGGCTCTCTTCGGGCCTTCTCTTCAACTGCTTGTCCCTTGCCTTGTGCCTGGGCACGGGGCAGCCGGATAAACAATGAAAAAGAGAGAGCGCCAACAAGATTGCGTCATTTCCCAAAAATCAAAGTGATCATACAATCAATTGAAAGTTATCTTCTTGAATTTAGTTTGTTTTTGTGTCTTTCATTGGTATTCACAGGCAATCGATTGTATGCCCATTGGTGGAGCCACTTGTTCGTCAACGCATTCGGAAACTTTCAACTACACCTCGGTCTTCTGATCCACCAGTGTCGCTGTCGCATCGTCCACCTATATAGCTGTCTGTCAAGAGCTTGGATCGACCGTTGAGGGAGCGTGGTCAGTTATTAAAAAAAATGGGCTTGTGTGAATCTTGGGCTGAAGGTTTTAAGCATCATATGCCTAAGTAAGGTGTTTTATGTTGAAATGTTGGGACCCAGGTTTTCACCTTTAGGTTAGCGTTAAGCCTCAAAATTGCGATTATGTTAGGCCAAGGTTTTCAACCCAGCCTTAAATACCCTAGGCCCTAGGAATGCACCCACCTAGTCTTAGAGGTGGCTGAATACCTTGGCACCAGGCTAAGGCGCGCACCCAAGGGAGAGAGAGCGAGAGAGAGAGAGAGAGAGAGATATATATATATATAGATAACTTCACCCATTGGGCCAACCCCACTATAACCCCCTTGCTAAACAACGCGTCATAGGGATCACAAGTGCTTGCATAGCTCCGCAACTGCTCCAGAGAAAACCTTTGAAGACGCTGAGTTACTACATCCTGACTTTGCCCGAGGAGGGTCTGCGGGGCGCTTGGACTGTTTTGGACACAGGCATTCACAGAAAAAACTCACAAGTGTTCTACGGATTTCTATGGTAGTTCTTCAACCAAAGGCTGGCTGACAAACTAATTTGCCGCCCTGCCAATCTTCTGGGGGCGGCTTCAACTTGGCAATTGCCTGCCCTTGGGATCTTATTCCTTTCACTCAGGCTGTACGAAACCTCGCCAAACTTCCGGTCCTTTGGTTCAGAGCCACTCATGGCTCCCACTCCCATCGGGCAGCACTTACTTCCCTTCTTGGTCACAGATCCAAAGCACCAGGTGGGTTTGGTGTGGCGCATGGTTTGGCACGAGAATGAATAGACAATAAGGATCAATGATGTATCACAGGTTCTGATGTGGTTTTTATGATGCTTTATGTCGATTTGGTGCTGCCAGGTCATCTTAATCTAATGCGCTATGATGAATCATCGGCTGACCTGCCCTGGAAGGTTGTTTATGTTCCACCAGTGAACAAGTGGCCTACGCCAAGTGCTTGGGCTATGCAACTCGGCCAAACATTCAGGTCATTTGGTGCAGCGAGGGACGATGGTCACATATCATCCTGTCAGCCCTTGTGCGCTGGGCACGGTCCGTTCTTAAGATTCCCACTGTCATTTTCCAAGGTTTACATTTGCCGTAGAGTCCCCCATTGCTAAAGATGAGCAAGACCGGACCATTATGGTTCAATCAGAGCCTGGGATTGTGGTGATGACAAATCCGCATCGCCAGATTGCCGGCTCAGATTTCAGCCTGGCACCTCGGTTTGCAACCACGCATCTCAAGTTCAGATGGATTTTTGTGATATGAGTACTGATGTAGTCATACTGACATATTGTTACCGGTACAGGATGGCACAGGAATATTTAAGGTGTGACGGAGTCCATCGTTTCCTTTACTGGTTTCAAGACCATGCCCGGGATACACCCCGCCGATTCGCCATTTGCATGTTTCGCCCCATGGCACTTTGAGGCGAACAGTGCTGATGGCTGGACTCTGTCTGGTCAGCTGGAGGTTGTAGGCGGTGCCTTGGAGCAAGATACCACTGAGATCCACGGAGTCTGCGAGTTGTTTCTCGGCTTTTGACCACAAGAATAAGGCTGTCGTGCCGATGTCTTTCTCAGGAAACATGCCATCCCAGGGCGTGAGACATCAGGCGGTTGCCTGGGGTGGTCTTAGCCACTACATCTACGGCCGCTTAGTTGCAATATGTAGTAGAATTTGTTTATATAAACAAAAATCATCAAAAATCATTATGCTCCAAAAAAGTCGTGTAGGACACCTGTCCTAGTAGATATAGGACAGAATGAAGATTGTGGCTTTGTGTTGTTTCGCCTCTTGCTGAATCTACTGCCGCAATCTGTCGCATCTGTTCATCTATTCCGCAAGGAGTCGATGAAGTTCAGAGCCTGGATTTCGCTACGGGCATCGATTTAGCAAAATGGTACTTTGAGGCCTCGCCCCAGGTCTTCTACAGAAAGGAGAGCGATGGCAAGGTGATGTGCTTTCGGCATTGGCCATGTGCTGGTTGTTGGGGTGGAAAGGTGAGAAGGGCAGAGAAAAATATTGAGGCTAGCTGAAAGACGGTGCACTAGGGTGCTCTCAGTGTCACCTCAAGATCTTTCAGGTCCTTGTCCCTCTGTGCGCGAAGGCTCCCAAATTGAATCATCTTCAACAAGTCATGTAACCTCCCTAAGCCATGCTTTATAGTGATATTTTTGTATTCCCTGGAGCCTTACAACTTCTAGCCGCCTTAGCCAGAAGCATTTTACGGCAGAACTTTAG